GTATAATTTTGTTATTTGTGGCTAAAAAATTAAAAAAGTAAATGCTTCGATATGGATCGGTAACCTATATACTCTTAATGTGAAATTTTTTTTTAAACAATTGGTACTTCCATTTGTTTATTTTTTTCCAGCTAAAATTGTAAAGGTTTACTAAGTTTGTGATCAAAGTTTATATTAAACCAAGAGAGGTCCTAAATTATATATTGCCCTATGCACCTAACATCAGAGCAATTTTTTGAAAAGCTAAATATATTAATTACTATCTTTTAAAAACTATTTTTTTAAATTGTTTGTATTTGCATATTTAATATAGCATATATTTTTAAATTTAATCTCATTAATATTTCCATAGTATTGATAAGAAATTTTTAAATGGTATTCTTACCTTTCAATAGGTATTCAGAAAACACTTATCAACCTATAATGTTCATTTAATAAATTATATTGTTTAACTTTAATTTTTACTTTCATTTAAAGTATCACTTGCTTTTTCTTTTCATGAAAAATTGTTCTCTAAAATAATTATTTTTTTTTAAAAATAATATTTGAAAGATTCATTTGAAAGAAAATAACAGAAAAATAAACTTTTCTAAAGGTGACAAAGTTTTGTATTACTCATTTTTTTTTAAAGTCAAATTCTGCAACAGTTTTTAATATTGATTTGGCAAATAAAAAAGATATTAATTTATGAAAAATTGCATTTGGGTTACACTAATTATCACTTGTTTTATATGAATTAAGGAGTTAGATATTATGCAAATACAAAACAGAGATGTTATACGGCTATGATGAGATGCACCATGGTCCATGGTATCAACATCTAGTGATGATGAATTGGATTGACCCAATGGATGTGCTAACAGCAAACCTTTAATTAAAGTTATGGCCAGGACAGACACACATGCTGTATACTCTGATATCAATTAATGTGTCATATCTTATTCATATAAAAAAGAAAAACTGAAATTCGCTTTTTCTACAATTAATCACTATTGAACAAACAGAGGAGGTATAGCTATATTTCTCTAACATAAGCAAACAGGAAATATACATTCACAAGCAAAAATGTTTTTTTCTTTGTAAACTCCATTTTAAACGGTGGGGCAATTAGAAATGCAATTATTTAAATATGTAAAATGAAACAATTTAAAAGATACTTAATCTTTTTATGAAAATTAAAAATATATTTTGTGAAACAAAAAGATGTACAAATAACTCATTGAATTATTCTATTACATCTCCATTTCTTTAAGAATATTGTTAAAAGTTTATGAAATTTCAAGTATATTTTATAAGAACAATAAGATTACTTAACAGAGCTGTGAAATAGAGAATAAATATAAATAATATGAGGTTTGTCTCGTGCAAAGAAAATTATACATACCAGTATTCTGCTGTTTTCTCCATATATTTCATCAATTAAAAGGAAGTCTTCCCCACTTTTTCTTTCTCTCCAGTCATCTATTAGAATAATTTCTTCCAGAGTTGATGGCATTGGAGGCAAAGCATCTGATCTAGCCTGGTACATGGGTGCCATTGCTGTATTTTTACTTGGCAGGTATGATGCCACCTCTAGGGATGAAGCAAATTTTGCTACTGTGTCTCTGGAATATTAAGTCACTTTGTCAATCTTTCACTTGAGATTATGAGTATGCCTGAGACCACAGCTCATAACTTTATGAATTAATGTTCTGTCTATTCTATATTTAAAGATTTTTTTCTTTACTAACACAGTCTTTCACTGTTTTCAAATCTTTATTTCTAATGAAAAATATTGGATTCTCTGTTTTTGTAATAAACCTAACATTATTATTATCTGATCATCATGAGAGATTAAATCTTAAATAATTTCAGTAAATTCTCATTTATAAAGATGCTAATTCGTAACATAAAATTATTTATACTAATATGCATGTTAACCATTTCCTTTTTTGTTTAAGTCTAAAAAAATTAAGAAGGTCCATCTTTGAAAAAAGCCAATACTTTCACTGTTAAAAAAAACATGCATACACACACAGAGACAGACAGACACACACACATGCATACATATATATATATATATATATATACTAAATAAATTTATATCTACCAAACCGAATTCATATATTAATGTATATATACTCAAATGGTAAAACATGCACCGTATTCGTAGAAGAAAATTTGATAAACTCCTGGCATATTCTCGAATATCTCGATTCCTAATGCATCTAGAGCCTCAAAGGTTTGGGAAGGTAGACGTCATTAAAATCGACAAGAATTGGATTTCTTAGAAAAGTTGTGATGGATAAAAAATAATAATTAAAGTTTCCATATATTCAGTCAAAAATATGCAAAAGACGCATACTTTCATCAGAAGTCAATTTTTCATGTTGCGCAGCTTATTATATCATTAATAAACCAAGATTTTTATTAACAGCAAATAATTTTAATAGTTTTGTAGTTCAAACTATTGTTTAATGCTCGTACAATTTACCTAATTTTAGATTTTTTTGTATTGATTACGTTTTAAAAATATATTTGTTAGCCAATTGTTATTTATTTAAACCTTTACACGAAGCTAATTTGTTTATTTCATTAAAAGCTTCTACACTGGTGTAAAGAGAATTTGCTGCCCTGGTCGATTATCTTTAGAACTACGGGACAGATTTTAATGAAATTTGATATGTACAAGCATTGATACAATACAAAACAAATAATCATTCAGCAATTGTTATACACAAGCATGATCTTGCGTAAAACTCGATTAATATGGTAAAAATGGGTTATTAGGGGTTATGATCCCTTCTTACAGATATACAGACTTTGCAACGTGATATCAGACTTGAAATAAGACAGTTTATCTTTTCCTCTGGCAATTGGCCTGAATTGTCCTGTGCAATTTCATGCCTTCCAATTCCAACGAGTGTTATCCACGATCATGCGTATGCATTACAATTATTGAATAATTATTTATTTTGCATTGTATGAATATATGCACATGCACGCATTTGTTTTTTATTGTATCAATGTATATCAAATTTCATTAAAATCGGTCCAGTAGTTGTAGAGATAATCGACCAAGTCTGCAAATTCTCTTAATTTCTTACACCAGTGCATATAGTACCTAACTCTGGCATTCACAATTAGAGACACTTCTGATAATTTATTCCATAATTTTTCTTGACTGGACTCAAAAAATGTTGAAAAGCAATCATATTTTTCTAGAGGGTAAATCGTATTGCTAAATCGACATGAATTTGTGTGAACGTCTTTCAATAGAGTTTTTTTTTTAAATAAATAACGCAATTTCTTTTACTTTTTGTATTCTAGAAATTCCACCACCATCTTCCATCGCCGCAGGAGACGATATTTTTAATTCTAAATCAGAAAAATTACGAAATGGACATCAAAATTCGTACAAAAAACATGATGGTGAGTAAAAGTCTCATACGTTCAATTTTTATATTTGAAGCTTAGAACAGCAAAGCATTCCATCATGCCATAACAAATGTACTTAAAAAGTACAAGAGAAAGTGACTAGTAGTTAGGGTAGTAACACTTTTTACTTTGTGAATTCAACATTTACAACAAAACATCAGACTACTAAAACAAGTAGAATTGAAAATCAATTCATTGACAGCAAGAGAGATATCTTTTAAAATCCTGAAAGAAGCTTACACATTAAACCCTCTTCGTTCCCTCGGACAAAGGGAAAAATTTTAAAATCGTATAATATATGTTGAAAAATTGATACAACTTCATAATGGGTGAGAAGAAAGCTACCATGGTTATTTAACTTGTACAACACTGATACAAAACATTTCGTGGAAAAAATGGTTAAATAACACTTTATTGAATGGTTATTTTACCATATTTAATCAAAACAGTCAAGTTATCATAAATGAAATGTTTATCAAACTGTTAAGTTTGAGAAAAACTGTTTATTGACTGCACTCACCTAATACGGTTAAACAACCAGAATTTTATCTCACCAATTAGAACCACCTAATAAAGCTACTTAGTTCTATGCAACGGCGAACATATCATAGCCGAGCAGGCTTATCTGTCAATCTCATGACCGGCAGAACTGGAGTTCGAGTCCTAGTGGTGACACCACATTTCTTCAATTTCCTTCACCACATGGAGAATTTCCAGAGTCCGGCACTCTCTAATTTCCATTACCTTACGAAAAACCGAGCTCCTGTGCCTAGTTAGATAATTATTTTTTTTGCGTTTTTGAAAAATGCTAGTTGTAAATGGTTAAAAAACCGTATAGTTTTATATCCATCGTCTTATAACCATGCTTTTAGTAAATGGTTTCGAAACCGTAAAGGAAAAAAAATGTTCTTTACCGTTAACTTTACGGCTAATCGGATGGACAGACAGCTGACAGTTATTTTACCATAATTTTAGAATGAAACTTTTAACAGTGTAGACGACCTTTTTCATATAACTTACAGTAAAAATTTAACTGTACTACATATACTACAGTTCCTAGCATTGCAAAAATGAAAAGTATTCAAAAGTTTTCAAAGTGCAGTTTTTTGAAAATTTAGTCAATATTGTCGATTAAAAAAATTTTATTGCTCAATACTAAATCATTAACTAAACTTAGTGGAGCGACAGCCCATAGAGGGCCCATAGTGTATTTATTTTAATCTTAGTTTTAACAAAATGTTAAATTAAATTTAACACTGTATCAATCATTTAAGCAAAAATCAGAAAAAGGATATAAATTAATTACTATTTTAGGAATACTGATCTCATACATTATTCAATTTCATGAAATTGAAAAATTTATATCTATACTTCTTTTATAAAATCAACACAGTATGACAAGAAATAAATACTTTCAGCATCTGAAAAGTTTATTTTTCTTAAATTAGACTAATGAATATTAAATATTTCAAATTGAAACTTTCTTTCAATACTTTTTCGAGAAAAAATCAAAGAATTTTTAAAAAGAAATAATTTATCTGTTATGCCTAACTAGATTAAATATTAAATTTTTACCTAGTTAACATTCAGTATAAACATCTTATTAAAAAATTATTTGGTACCTCTTTTGTATTACGTATGATTTAATTTAGTTTATGCACGCTTTTTGAAAATTTCATGAGAATTAGATTGTAACTGAGAGAATATCCAAATTCAATCAATGCAAAAGTCTAGAAGGAAGAGCTCGTAATGAATATCATCTAATAATCCTAAAAAAATAATGTCCAATGGTCTTAAGGTACAACATGTGGTTTCTCAAGGTGTGACATGGTGTAATTTGGATAAAAATGACACCTTCAGATTATAACAATAATAATGTGACGTAATAATATTCTGTTATTCTAAGTATTCTGATGTGTATGGGGGATTTTATTCACAAAAAATATTATGTAAGTAGAACCTTTAGTGTATTAGTGTATTTCCTTCAAATCATTACTTTCTTCCTTAAAAAAATATTAATCTTTTACTTTTCTTAATAGTAATATTATTTAATAACTATATTATTTAGTTATATTTTTATAAATATTTAAATTATAAACCCTTTTTATATATTTTCATTTCATATATAGATTATTCAAGTCAAGAGTCCGCAGATCATCATCCAAATATAGAACCAAAAGAAGAATTTTCGAAAATTCTTAAAACAAAAGGTACTGTTCTCTCACACGTATTCATCTTAATTACGAGTAAAAAAACGTTTTAATTGAATTATTTATGTATAACGTTTAAAATGAAAGATAATTAACAGACCTAATTTTATTTAATGTACGTTGAAAATGTCTAAAGTAAAAAGGAATCTGTTCCGCATTATTGGTTTTTTCAAGCTATAAATTGTCTGTTACACGAATATTTGCCAGTTAACTCTAGGTAATCTGTGGGTACGAGTTAAGCCTGTGGTTAAATACCAAACGTTATACTCAAGTCAAAATTGAGGGATTTGACAAACAGTTTACTCTCCGTTTTTGAGAAACTATCGGAGGATTAACCGCAGAATGATCTTGTAAACAAATAAAGCCGATGACTGTTTTCAATTTAAAAATTGAGCTATCGCTGCTTTTGAAATTGAACCTTTCAAACTTCCTTGCAAAAAAGACTATAAATAACATAGATTTTTTTTTGTAATTGGAGAACTAATATGTAAATTTGACAGTCAGATGGAGTCACGCATACATTGTTTATTAAATTAACATTAAAATAATCTGCAATAAAATGTAACATTTTCATGAAAGATGAGGCATTTTCGTGATGATTCGTTGGAAATAGTTTTATTTTCAGATGCAAGTTTTATTTTTCTAATTAAAGAAACATGCCACCTTCGAAATGTTTTGATCTGAAGTCAAATGCAAAATTTTTGAGATTTGCTTCATAAGTTATGCTCAATATTTGTGAATAAATAAAAATATTCTTCGTAAAAATATTTAGAATTCCGTTACTGTACTCGAAAATGTCTTGAAGTGAATTAGAAATTCACTGTTTTTTCCAGTGACTAGTGGCTTAAAAAATGTTTAAAAAACACTTTCTGAAGTTTGCATACGAATATTTAAAAAATAACTGTTTTATCTTCTTAAATTAATGCCTTTGAACAGAGATCTTCCTCAGGAATTCTTTAACAAAGATATTTTTTTTAAAATGTAAGAAAATGATCCGAAGTTATTGATTGAGTTAACAATTTTTTTTTTTTAAAAATGGCCTTATTGAAATTTAATCTATGTAATACAGGCAACGTATACAAATAGCAAAAATGTGAGTTATATGAATACATGAACAATAAAAATGCACAACAATTAAAATACTTGAACAACAAACGAGATCAGTGAATATTTTTTTTAAAATTTCCTATGAGCTGCACAATCAGTCTTCCCGATGAGCAGACCTAGTGCGTTCTCCAGAAGTGGTATCCACTCTTTCAGGACCACCATAATGGGTGAGATACCGTTGACCATGTTAATTTTGACGTCTAGTTTCTGCCTCACTAGATGGCAGCATCGAGATTCTATTTGGATGCTAAAGTGCACTAGGAATTTAATTTTGCTGGAAATGCCAAGAGCCAATAAGGCACTCCAGGGATCTTCTACATGCCGCATAATCATACGACATGGTCGCTGAGGATTTTCTGCATCCCGAAACTCCGGTGTCTGGGCCGAGGATCCAACCCGCAGACTTGGGCTGAGGAGGCAAACGACAAACAAACTGAGCCACCCAATGAATATTAAGGATAATAAAATTAATGTAAACTTCTGTGAAAAGTATCATTCAAATAGAGGTATGATAGACTTATTACTTACATAGATACAGTGTAACAGAATTGTGCATTTTTACCAGAAATGTTATTTCCATAAATCACAGTAATTTTCTCAGAATATACTTGGTCGCTTAGGAATCTATTAATTAAAAATCAACTAATTAAAATCTGCAATTTTTAGCAATACTTTGCTTTTTTTCAAAAGTTCATGAAAAAAGAGCAATTAAAATATCTTATTATAATTTAATACTTGTACTCATTTAAATGCTTGTCTTTTCATTTTTATATAATTTTATACTAATGCATATATATATATTTTTTAATTTAGGTGCAACTAATATGTCTGCGAAGGATTTTAACAGCTACCCACAATTACTTTTTATTCTACTCATAATTTTATACCATAATAGAAAAAGGTATGTTTCATGATTCTGACCACCATTTGAAAAGACGAAAAGATATCTGAAATTCATACATATGAATTCATCCATTGAACTGTTTGAGAAATATGTTTGAGTTTATTACTTTTAAATAAATTTCCGTATAAAAACTAAACAGTTTACGAACTTAGTTATAAGAACAAATTATTTCAAAAACGAAAAAATTTCACATTATACTGTTATGCAATCATATCATGATGGGATAACAAAAATCCCCAATTATTTTTTTTAAATAATTTGTTAAAAATATATTTATGCAAATGTTTTATAATTTTTATACATCAATTGAAGTTTCCCAGCACATCTCGAAAAAAATAAAATTTGAAGAAAATTTTCGGAAAACGGCAATATTGCTTTATTTTCCTGCAGCGATCAAGGCGTAGATCTTCAGCCTAATTATATTTTTATTGCTTTAATGGTAATGATTACTCTTTATTTTACGTCTTACGCATAGTTTTCCACAGCCAAAGGGAGTCATTTAATGTACCCTCCCCTACAATAATGGAAGAGACATTTTTTTTGAATTTCCCAAGAAATACTTAATGGAATATTTTGTAACTTTAGAGGTGTTTAGTTCCCTCCAATTTTCATACTTAGTAATAAGATTTAATGTGTTGGTTTTATACAGTGAAACCATTAAAATTATTCAAATGTGCATAAAACTACGTGCAGTCAGTAAAATAACAAGCAAACAAAAAACTATAAACTATAAAAAAAGCTATAAACTATAAAAACTATGAAAAATAAATAAATAAATAAAACTATAACAGAGAAAAAGTAATTAAAAGAAGCTGCAGCGTGTACTGCAAAAATTCATATTTTACCTCACCGCCAAAAATGGCAGTAACTATACTCAAATAGTTTTACCGTGTTGATCATTATTTTAATTTCAAATTAAGACACAAAAATACACTTTCACAAAATAAATTAGAATTTCATCTCTGCTGATGTTGTGCTTTTTAAATTATGTCCGGTAACTGATATGGAAAGTATGGTGGCAAGATTTAGAGAACTTAACATTATACTTAAGTTTTGATTACTAACGATGTGTCTGGAAGTAAGTACATGAATCAAAAATTTTTCTACCTATTTAAAAAAAAATCCTTCACTCAAGAAAATCAACAACAAAAAATCTCAAAAAAAAAAATCCTTCATTCCAAATTGTAAATTATTTTTTAAAAAAATCATCAAAAATAAGGTATACTTTCAAAAAAATACTTAAAATATCTTATAGCACTAGTTTATGAAAAATTATTTAATTTGTCATTCTGTTATCTCGTTATTTTTCCAAAACAATTTTTATTCAGTTTCCATAACACCACTTATATCTCCACTAAATACAAATAACACGTAACACTTACTTAAAACAACTTAACTTAAATATTCCGACCAGAAAAGATTTCATTAATAAAAAATATTTTCATATTTTGAAATTTTGTGATTATGATTTTATTTTCAAATTCTAAACAAAAATAAATCCTTAAAAAAATACTTTCCTGAAAATGTTGGTTCTTTCGATACAAATTCGTTTGAGATTTTCCTTACTCCAGTTGAAAGATATAATTTTTATAATTTCCCTTGCCATTGAGAGTTGAGCACAAACAAGTACTTATGAAAACTATATTTGATTCCAGGGGGTATCAAATCACTCTTCTTGTTCCAAAAATACATATTACATGTTACATGTTACGGTGTTAATGTTCATGCCTTTCTGTTGTACCACTTTAATATAATACCACACCTATGAATTGACGAACTTCTAATAATTGTTTATTAAATGCAAATTCATAAAATTTTTGCCGTAATTAAACAGCAAAAACACTGCTTAGCCAAGTTCAACCTAATTTGCAGCAATTATCTCTCCACGGTCATATGAAATAACGCTTTTTTGCAAATAAAATGCTATTTTCAAAACTGTTGTGAGTTACAGTGCTGTGAGTTGCTGCAGTTACTTATGACTGTTTGGTGACGTTTAGCACATCTAATGCCAACGCTGTATGTACTTTTTTCCGAAAATATCGAAAAACGTCATTATGTAGAAAAGCAGCAATTTTTGGACGAAGAAAAGCGTTACTGGTCTAATTTTTAATTATTTAAAAACTTACTCCAATGAAGCATCCATCTGGGCTCATAACAATTTTCAAAATAAGGAAATAAGGTAGCGCATTTGTTAATTTTCAGCTAAGTGGAAAAATGCCGCCACTTTGGCGATTTTTTAAAAAAAAATAAGAATTTTTAAAATATTTAAATTATTTATCCAGCCCAGATTCACGGCAAGATGATATATGTAATTTAAAATAATCTTCTTACTTTAAATGTAAGGCACTTAAACTGTGGCTTTTCTATTTTGCTTGGCAATAGAGGTTCAAAAAACTTCGTTAAAGCACGAGAATTTGATATCGTGGTGAAAAAAGAGAGTTTCTATTCTCTGCTACCTTGGATCAAGAAAACTATTTTTTTGATGAAAAAGCAAGAAAATTAAACTAAATTTTTACAAGCCTTTTCATAATCATATTAGAATTTACATTCATATTTGCACTTAAAAATTACTTTTCAAAAAAAAAAAAATATATTATAATAATTTAGTAATCATGTCTTCCCTGAAAGGTAGCGGTGTTTTATGTAGAACGAAAGAATTTACTTGAATTAAATCTTACTTCAATGAAAAAAAAAACTTTGTGTTATATAAACTTCAAATAACATTTTCTCTACTGAAAAAAATGTAGATAATTCGCTGCTGTTAATTGGAGAATTATTTTTGAAATTTTTATCTTTTCAATATGTGTGTATAAAATGCAACTGTAAATGTTAATGTTTTGACATAAATATTACAAAATACATGACATACACTGAGATGTTTATTTTACCTGTAAAATTGCCTGACTACTTCCCTGTCGTTTCAAAAGGTGAAAAACCAAACTATTATTTTTCCTGTTCAAAATTAAGTTGACTTTATTTCCAGAGTTTTCTAGCCATGGGGTTTCATCTCTACTTTAGTTATAGCTACCTTGTACAGTTAAAAAGAAGAACAAGTGCTGTAAAATTGATATGTTTGTGAATTTGTTTTAATTTAATTTTTATTGGTGCTGAAATGTTCTCAAAACTTTATTCACAATTGAAAACGTATGAATTTAAAATTTCACAATGTTACATTCCATATATTCTACAGTTCGAACTTATGGTGTAAATAAAACCGATTATGTATATTACGTTTAATAAAGAATTTGGTTTTGATTAATCTTTTGAATTTGTTTAATGTATATTACACAAAGACTTTATAACTGCCTAATAACATAATGTTTGTTCTACTCCGAAATGAAAGAAATACCATTTTTTGTAAATTTATTTAGTTTTTTTAAATAAATAGAATCAAGAAATTTACTTAATTAATTGTTACCTTATGTAGGGACAAAAACTCAAAGCAATTCTCTAAAGATAAATTTAATTTTGTGTCTTAAAATATCGCATTTGACAAGGTAATGTTATAAACATTAGTTATTATAATTGTAGTAAATTTTAAGTACGGAATATCGTTGTAAAAAATGTGTAAAGACGTGAACTAAGCTACGTACAAAACATAGATAAATACGTAATATAATCTCAATAGTTTAATTAGGTGTTTTGAAAGAAGGATACAAAAAGATTTGTCGGAATTTTCAGCTTTCACTTCAAACACAGATATTTAGAAATGACGCCAGCATACATTTTAAACCTTTGAAAAAAAATTATTCGCAGATAAAAAAATTAAGTAGAATCTGGTTAAATAACACTGAGCAAGTGGAATTCAAAATATCAAAAACAGATAAACTACCGAAACATATGGCCTATTCCTAATCATATCGAAAAACTAAGCATTATGTTCTGAAAGTGCTGCTCTTGCAAAACTATTAATGCTTTTTAACCTTCAAGCTAATTTGCATAGAAACTTCTACCTTACAAAATAAGTAATCCTATTCAGGGAAAGTGAACGAAAGCAACATGGAAACCCTTATTTTTAACACCTACTAAGTAGGCAGCATTTTTTAAAAAAGAAATAAAAGAGATCATTTGGGAAATAAACAATTTTGCTATGATGGAAATATTCGATTAATGTCCCGAATAAGGATTAGGAATTTTAAACAAACTTTTCAAACTGTATTGAAGTGGAGAGAATACCATTTTATTTAGAAAATTAAGTTGCTGAGAAAACAATTTGAAAGAATTGTTCCATAAATTTATAGAAGAGGGCAAAATTGAAATAGCTTAAATGTGTTTTTTGAGGTTTCCTTCTCAAGGAATTAAAAAGGTCGGAGTTTAAATAATGCGGCATTATTGTAAATAAAATTATTTATGTTTTGGAACAAAAAAATAGAATTTAAGTGTGTAAACAAAACTATTTATTTTTAAAAAAATCGTTCATTTTAATTGGAATTGAAGAAATTAAGTAATTAACTACATAAACTGGAAAAACAGAAGAGGGCAGCACTTAAATAGTTTAAGGGTATTTTTCGAATCTCTCTTTCCCACATTGTAAAAACTGCGGTGTAATATCTGTTTAAGAATTAATAAATCTAAATAATAATAAATCTAAATTATTGATTTCAATTTTATATTGTATTGTAAAAGTAATATTACTGACTCTAATGTATATCTTAATCTTACTTTAATTATTAATTTTAGTGTAACTGAAGAACAAAATTGGTAGCGGCTACTTTACCTAGAGTTACGTCTACCGTTTCACAACACCACTTTGGTGGAAAGTAGCTATCATCATTTTTGATGCTGAGATACATTAAACATTTTAACAGCGTAGAAAAAATATCACAGTAAGTAACTTAAACTCAAAGTAAAACTATAATTTTAAATTATTCATTCCACACTAACATTATAATTATTTAGGCTTCAGAACTAAATTACTTAAATACTAAGCAGTTTACTATTCTTTCCTTTTAAAAAATAATCTATTTATCGAGATTATTGCATTTAGATTAAAGTGATTGAAATCAATAATTAATTCTCAAATTTTTAAATTTTGAAAAAGTTAGGCAATATAGGAATAATTCAGAATATGAGAGTTTATTTTAACTAACTTTTTCAATATTTATTTTCATTACTTAATATTTGATTATCAAGCTTTTTTACTTTCTCAAAATTAAGTTTTTTTAAAAACATAAAATTGAAATTTTAAACCATTTTTATAACCCATTCAGGAATTGTTGGGTAAAGATAGGAGATACCAAGCAATCAAAAATTACAATAACAAACTCACACTTCTGCTATATAAATCCCATATTATTTGCTAAAAAACATAATTTTATGTTAAGAAAAAACTTTAAATGAGTAACAAAAAAGTTAACATTTTTAGAGGAATCAATTCAATATTTTACAAACGCTTTAATTCCGTAATTGTACCTAAACGCAAATAAGTGTTTTGGCAACGGGTAAAGGTTTTTATCTAAAAGGTCTTAATGGGTCATACTTCTTAAAACTAAATATTTAAGTGTTTCCCACATTTGTTCTATTTCATTTTTACATTAGCCGATAAATATTAAATTTCCACAAAAATATCGAATTACCTTCATTTTTTAGAAACAAATTCATCTTTTGAGGATGGAATGAATTTCCGACGATAATCCTCAGTTGATTTTCTTAATTTCAATTTTTCTCTCCTTGAAAAATAAGATTAAATATTTCTGCTTTATCCTTAATTTTGTTTTATCTTATTTATTAAAGTAGGCGATGAAAACTGAATTTCTTTTATTTTCCTTTTAAATAATTTTTGTAACAATTTTTGTAACTTTTTATGCCTCGATAATGGTATTAGATTATTTCGATAATGGTATTAGATTCCCTCATTCGATTCCAGTTAAATATTTTTAATTGTTCAAAGTATTTTACTTTATGCGAATGGTTTACTATTTTTAATTCACAGTAGAAGTAAAGTATGTAAAATAAAATTACAAGTTTAAATGAATCGTCGATGTTTTTATTTTTCGTTGTTTTTATCATACAAAAATTGATAGTTCAGGCGCACTCGTGTTTCTGTGTAATTCTATGCAACTATAAAATGTAATATTTCATCATTATAATGGAAAAATGAAATTTGGACAAGTTTTTGAAGAAAATAATGTATAAACTGTTTTATTGACTTCCAT